GATTTCGCCCTTGCTAGGTGTTGCATGCCATTCTAGTCATATCATTCTGCATGCCTCATTTTGTACTCTAACTTTTTCAATGTTGTTTCAACTTCGTTAGTGGAAACTATTGTCAACCTTCAACTTCCTTTGCAAGTAGTAAGAACGCTAGCAGAGCGCTACGATCACTCGCACAACCCCGTGCCCTCCTCCGTAGTCCACTCCCGTTGTGTAGTGACTCTCCGCAGCCGCGTGGTCGAGGCACGAGCTTCCGTGTGCTATTGGCAAGGATGCTTTGTATCTCCCTGTCCAATGCCGAGTTCAATGCCTTGCCCTTCCAGCTTGTCTGCCCCTCCTTGACGGTCATCGTTAAGATGTCCCAACGCCGTTCGATATCGGGAAGCTTAGGCAGTGCAACGTCTGCATGTACGTCGTCGAGAAGCGTGTTGGCGAATGCTGAGCAGGCGTTGGGGCGAGTGGAATGTCGCACCGCCGGCTTGTTAACCGGGACTTCCACCACGTCGCTGGATAAGCTGTCGCTGGACGGCTCCCCCTTTTTCGTTACTAGCTTTGCGGACGACTTCCACAATGTCGCTCGACGGGCCGTAGCGGAGCTACTCCATTGAAGTCGGCCCCTGACAACTGCTTCCATGTTGCCTGCTTCCCTGCCGACTGCTTCCATGTCGTCCCCCCCCCCCCCCCCCCCCCCCCTCCTCGTCGTCGACTTGCTTGATGCCGACCATGCCATGATGGCCTCTGATGATGCCGATGTGATGCTCCAATGGCGACGCAGCAATGCTCCCTTCATCGCCGGTGGTCGACGTAGATGCTGACTTAAGCAAGTTAACGTTTGTGTAAGGACTAGGTACAAGAACCATGTGTAAGATCGTATATGTAAATAAAAAACATTATTAAGGAAAATATGGACCACGTCAATTTTCACTGCACCCTAAAACACCATTACACAATTGTTGAAAGTAAGGTGGTAAGGTAACGACACAATAATGTATCTACTGGTAGGAAATGAAGAGCGAAAATAGCATATATGCTTGCAATACATCGATTTGAAAAATCACGCAACATGTAATTTGTTAATATTATTATAGTATAATAAGCACACTAAATATTGTGATAGTGAAGTATGTATTTCCTTTCTATTAGCATTCCTAACGTTGTTAACACCAATGCTAATGACAGTTTAAATAAAAAACGAAAGTACATTTGTATACAAGCACTGTCTCAATGGTCCCAATACAATTATCGAATTTGAACTTATAACATCAACGAACCATCCAGTCAAAGCGGGAGCTGGACAAACCCGACGCGAAATCTTACCCTACCAAAACTATGAAAGGGAGAAGATCAAATTGGGGCCAAACATTAGCAGGAAAGTGACCAAATTAGGGGCGGAGGAACCGAACCTGGACATTTGGAGCAAAAAACCGACTTTTCCATACTCGCGATTCGATTTCGCTTGTCAGAGGTTCCGACCACCCCACGTGTCGTAACTGATGGATTTGAATTTTTATGTCGTTATGTCGAAATAAATCTGTGCTTTCCACTCGTCAGCACTACGAAGCACTAGAAGAAGTTACCAGAAACTGTTAGGGTAGGGAGGAAAAAAACTAATCCCCTAGAGAACCTGGATGCGTTTTCGGGAGGGGTCAACCCTAAACACGGGAACCCAAGTAGAGTTTGGGGTTGATGCCTCCCCGAGTCGCATCCGTCTCTGATTTGGTTTTTTTTTTTTTGTCAGCTAAAGTGATGTAAAATTTCCGAGAACCAAATGAAACCTACTCCCAGAGGAATGCGACGCGAGTATCGTAATAGGCGGCAATCAAAACCTAGAAACAAAAACTTGATCCAATAAAGTCAAAATACGCGTATTTTCCTGTAAATCTAGGTGCGAATTCTCGGCCCTACCACTTGGGCAGCCTCGGAGGTGCATCCAACGGTTGGGATTAATCCGGCCCTAATTTGGTCACTTTCCTGCTAATGTTCGGCCCCAGTTTGATCTTCTCCCACTATGAAACGACAGCCAATTACGGGTGCGAGCATTTGGCGCCCAACGCAACCAGGTAACTCTGGGCAACTTTCCCGAAGCGCACATCGCAAAATGAACTCTCTCGTAACTGAACCGTAAGTATTACAGAGGTCAACTTTCGGAACCCTAGAAAATCCATGCCCAACGGACCACGCCTTTTTTGAGATGGCGCACAGCCCCGCCCATCTCGCCACCCACGCTGCCCCCAGCAGCGCCCTCGCCACGCCCGGCGGCACGCGGGGCGGGGAAAAACGCGTCAGCGATGACCGCATGCGTGCGGCGACAGCAGGCACCTTTGAGCGACAGGGAAGCGACAGGCAGCACACTAGCTAATGTGCGCGGAGCAACAGGAAAACGGGTCCTCCACAGCTGAGGAAAACTAAGCACACCGCTGGAGGTGAATAGCTCTGGATAAAAGCATGCAGGCAGGAAGCTATCAAAAGAATCAGCACTTTGCCAGGGGGTTTTGGGAAACATTGTCCTAGCAGCTTTCAGGCTTGCCGAATGAGTGGTATAGGACATACAATGCAAGCTTGCCACCCTGCACGTAGGTTCAGACTTTCCCGATGGTAGGTTTGGTGGGGTTCTGCCCTGCGAAGTGAAAAACACGAACTACCAACTACCAACTACCTCTACGCCATGGATTCTGCCATGACTCCGGACAGCGCAATGTCATACAATTTCTTGCCTGATGGCACATTTCTTGTTACCGTAGAGTTCGTTTCGATAAGAGCTTCAAGAGGATGCCCTTTTGTGTTCAAACAACGAACATTGGTGACTCTTGCCTGGTCGCATGAACTCTCAAGGTCTACGCCAGATGGCCATTGTTAAGCGCTCAATGTCGTCATTGGTTATTGCTGCTACTCGCATATTGGTTCATTGATCCAAACCCGCCAGACAAGCTCCTTTTCTTATCTTCAACTTTGGTTTTGTCGCGGTTATGTTTCCTGATTTTCATACAAAGCAACGACTTTGGTTTCTCAAGGAAGGCTCATCACAATGATAAATGCGACCACCAGACTGACTGCAAGGGAACATTAGTGCTCAGCACCGGGTTCTTATCAGGCTGTTTGCACAGCCTGTTCCTCTGTTTTCATCATTGCACAATGGCGAACGGACGACGCACTGGACGTGGGGGAGGGAAGGCAATGGGGAAAATCACTGCTCCGGGTGGCTGGTCTCCACGCAGGCGTCACCGCTGGCTCTTCCGAAAGGCTCTGTTGTCGACGATGCTGCGAAGACCTCGCTGCAGGAGTGCTTATCTGTACTGAAGTTTAACAGGCTAAAGGACAAGGCAGTGGAAGGTGTTGATGTTGTACACCCGCAGCCTGGTGCTCCGCCTGTTGTAGGCTCAGATCAGGCACCGGCGGTCCCTGTGGTGGTGGCTGAAAGAGGCAAGCAGGAGGTTGCTGAAGAAGAATGGTGGGATAGTGATGACGGGGACGACTTTGATCATGTGGCAATTAATGCTCTGTCGGCTCAGGTCAGCTTCCCGATCACGCTGCTGGTCCCTATCGAATGGGAGGCAGAGGTTCCGAAGCTGAAAGCCACGGTTGCTGCTCACGTTGATTTCTGGATGGCATCGTTGACAGCGGATGTGCAGACAACAACACAGTATCAGGTTCTGCTGCCTGCATATCTGTCGAAGAAGTTTCATCGGCTCAAGTTTCCTTTCAGCACGCGCGTGATGCTGAGTTTGTTTGGATGCGGACGATCGAGCATGACCTGGGGAAAGGAAAAACTCTTAAGCTCGACTGGCAGCACTCGGAGAATGCGACTTACAAGAGAGAACGTCGTTTGAATCCGGGAGCGGTTGAGGTGGTTCTAAAATCGGTCCCTGCTGGTGTCTCCCCGGATCTGATTCGCAAGATGCTGGCGGAGGTTGTTCTGCTAAAGAAAGGAAAAGCAACTTTTAACCGTGGTGCTGATTTTCACAGGGTGCAGGACCCGGTCACCGGGATGGACACAGACAAGGTGCGCGGCTTGGTGATTGAGCACGAGGATGATGACTCCCCTTGGCGTCATGCTGTTACGGATCTGTCGAATCTGGGAAGAAAGCTGCTGGTGCATTATCCCGCGCTTACCTGTGATTTCTGCAAGGGTCATCACATGACGCAATATCACAATGCCTACGTCACCGAGCGTCAAGCCAAAATCGGCAAATGGACCCTGACGGTCAGGAAGGTCCATGAGATCAACGGTATTTGCACAGAACTGTTTTTCTCATCGCTCTTACCGCTATGCCTTTTTCCGAAGTCTCATACTGACGGTCTTGTTCGCTCCTCCCCCCGCAGCTTTATCGCTCAAAGTTACAGCGCAACTGAAGGATGTTATCAAAGATCCTGCGATAGTTCTCACCTCTACAGGGGGGTCACGGGAGTATCGTGATTGCCGCCTTCGACAAAGCTCAAGGCACCAATTTCGAGCAGGCATCGAACCATGTTGCTTCGCTGCGTCATCAGAGCAACATACTAAAGCAGGTACTGCTACGCGCGCCAGCAAAGGAGCCATCAATCTTGCCGCACTCTGGAAGGAGTTCGCGAAGTGATCTGCTAGGGAAGGGGATCACCCAGGAGAAGGGACAGTTGTTGCAATGCAGTCAGTACACACTGTAGCTGTCGCCGTGTCTGTTTTACTGCCGTGTGGAGTGATGTAGCTGGAGTCAGAGGATCATGGTGTAGGAGAGCCGGTTGTTGTACCCCAGCCCGTGGATGCAAAGGGGCTTCTCACCTGTTGTTTATTGGATAAGTAGAGCACGATCACTTTATGCGAGCTCAACATCAACGGGCTCGGCAGTGCAGGGAAGCAGACCAAGTGCAGAAATTGGTTGCGAGGGAAAACGAATATTGCAATACTCACTGACACTAGAGTTAAGGCAGACCACAACTTCTGGACACAGCTCAAACCAGCGGCAATCTCCGCCGTGGGGCCGGCGAACACAGCAGGTGGGGTGGCGATGCTGAGTTTCGTACCTAGCATGGTCTTCTCGAGCACGTACTTGCACGACTCGGGCAGGCTGGTAGCAGTGGTGGTCAGGTGGGACGATCTGGAGCTGCTTCTCATAGCTGCATATCTGCCAGCGCGGCCGAAGAACAGCGCGCCTTTTTACAGGGACTGCCTGGGCCCGTTTCTGAACACTCTTCCGGACCTGAAGAACATTCTGGTGATGGGTGATTTAAGCGTCATAGAGGACCCAGATATCAACAAATCCACTGGTGTGGGTTCAGCGGCGGAAAACCGGCGGTTCATGAGTTTTTGTGCGCGCACTCCTCTCACGGACGCTTTCTGCTATGTGCATTCTGGGAAGAGGGAGTACAACATTTCATGCAAAGGGGAAAGGGGTGAGCACCAGAATCGACCGCGCACTGCTCTAGCAGCCCTTGTTGGGCAGGCTGGTAGATGCTCGTCATAAAGCGATAACGAACAAGATGACAGACCACTGGAACGCGGTGATGGTTGCCCTTGAGTCTTCAGCGGATGGGTCAAGAGGGCCTGGGATCTTGAGACTGAGGGCTGCGTAGGCAAAGAAGAAGGGTGTCAGGGAGAAGGTGAAGCAGGTGCTGCGTGACGCCGGTGGCGATCTGGCAGTTTTACTCCTGAGGCTGTCGTCCTGTTTGAGGGCTTATTCGCGAGAAGAAACGAAGCGGATTAATGCGACTAAAGCGCATCTGGAGCGGGAGGTGGAGGTGTTCCGCAGCAGATTGTCGCGGAAACCGGGGTGTCAGCGTACAGGGGCAATTCTGCTCAAGAAGGAAGAGCTGCTGAATGCATATGAGAAGCGTCACATGGAGAAACTGCAGGCGTGGGCAGGCATTAAATGGGAGCTGGATGGAGAGGCGACGTCAGGCTTTATGACTGGGAAAATTAAAACGCGAAAGTCGAAAACAGAGGTTCATGAGGTTAAGCTCAAAGGGAAAGTTTTTACCGAAGTACTGGTGGCAGCGACAGAGTTCTTTGAGGACGACGGCGATGATTCGGACGAAGGGGTCGTGGAGTTGCCCCCCCTGCAATGTACTATCAGCGAAGCGACTAAGGAGGCCCTCAGAGCACCGTGGTCGGGGGAGGAGGTGCAGACGGCGGTGCGCGAGCTGGCCTCGGGTAAGTCGTCGGGGCCTTCCCAAGGAGTTGTTCGAGCACAAGTGGGACTTGTTGGGGGCGGTTCTGATGCATTTTGCTGACGATTTCACCCGCACGTCGAAGCTTCCCAGCAGCGTCTCAACTGCAATCACAATACTTCTGCACAAAAAGGGAGCAAGGAGGATTTGGGGAATTACAGGCCAATTACACTGCTCAGCACGGTCTACAAAATCTTTGCGAAGGTCCTTGCAATGAGGCTGAAAAAGTTGTTACATGAAGTAATCTCGGAGGACCAAGTTGGCTTCTTACCGGGGCGGAAGCTGGCGGATGCGGTTACGGTCGTGGCGGATGCCATCGAAGCAGGAGCCAGCGGCAGGGAGGACTAGTATCTGGTGATGATTGACTTCCGTAAGGCCTTAGACTCCATATCGCGGCCCTTCCTCTTCCGCACGTTGAGAAGGATGGGCATCCTGGAGAAATTTGTAGCCTGGGCGGAGGGGCTGCACAGGGAGACAGGCACACGGGTTCACGTGAATGGCTGGACTGGTGATATAGTCGCGGTTAAAAAAGGGGTGCGGCAAGGGTGTCCCCTGGCCCCGTTCCTTTTTCTTTGCGCGGTGGAGCCGTTGTGCGAAGAGCTGACGAAGTGCAAGCTGGGCTTTGGCCGGAGAGACACGGGGAAACTGGCTTACTTGGGGTATGCAGATGACACGTCGCTGCTTACTTGGGGTGCGGAGCAGGTGTCAGTAGCAGCAGGGGTATTGGACGAGTTCGGCAAGAAATCGGGCCAAAAGTGAACCGAGACAAGACGGTGCTGTTTCCTTTGGGGAAGAACAGAGGAAAGCCGCCGCCGCCGGACCAGCAATATAAATGGGCTGACAAAGGGGAGCCAGAGCGCCTCTTAGGCCTGTGGATAACGCCGAACGGAGACCAGTTACGGTCTTGGGAGAAAGCACTGGACAGGGCACGGAAGGAGTTAGCAAAGTGGGAAGTGCAGCACTTGACAACATCCGCGAGGGTCACAATCGTGAATGGCTACATCACACCGATTTTCTTGTTCCAGGCGTACATCTACCCGCCCCCGGAGGAGATATGGACAAAAATCCAGAGAATCTGCCACAAATTTGTATCGGGGGGGCAAGCGACGAATGAAAAAGTTTTCATTCTCTGGAATTACGAGCTGATGTGCACACCCAGGGAAGAGGGAGGGCTGAGGTTGATATGCCCCAAGAAGAGGTTCGACAGCGTGGCGGTCCAGAACATTGGGCGGATGATGCTGCAGGATAACATGGTCAAGAAGTGGTTGACCGAATGCGCAGCTGCGATGCCCCAGGGTGCGGACACGACTTCTGCGCAAGTCCCTACTCAAACACTGGAAGGGTGGGAGCAGACGGTGGAAGGAAATGACGCAGGCTTTCTGGGACAGGCCTTTCTGCGTCCCTCCCGAGCCGACAAACCGTTGGGAAGCGGAACGGGAGCACCTCGCGTTCAACCGGCGAATACCTTTGCGTGGAGCCAGCCAGCCGTCGCAGCCAACTCAGGGGTATCGGAACGCCTTTTGAAAAAATTGGGACGATGGCGCAGCGACTCGGCCCAGTAGATGTACATCACTTCCATAGTCGATCAATTAGTGGGAGCATCTCGCCGCGTCCGGGACCCAACAAGATCATCCCCACCACAGTACTCAGAGGCTTTGGAGCGACAGCGACAACCAACACGACACATGTCTCATAAGACCCATTTGAAATGAGGTGATGCTATTGCCAAATGCAAACAGGCAAGCTTTCTATATTATGTAACGCTTTTCGAAACTCTGTATTCTGACAGCACAGCTTCTTGTAATGTATGCACGTGCATCGTCGAGCTGCGCTGAACTTTCGTTTTGGAGTACAAAACGTGGGCTGGAGGTCATTTCCCTCCACCCACGTCTCTCATTTTTCAAACGGCTTAGTCCATTTTCCTGCCCACCCGCCCCCTGGAAGCGTGACAGCCGTAGGAATGTGTACCTTACTAGGTTGATAGCATTGTTAGGATTTAATTGTACTATGCCATTTGAAATGAGAGGATGCATTTGTAGGGTTAGTACAAACCTCGTCGTAGTGAGCTTACACAATAACCAGCACCTGTACCTCCTCCCATGCAACGATCCCGCACAGACACACGGCAGGAGAGGCGGGCGGGGGAGCAGCGGGAGCAGGTGGGTGCGTGTGTGAAACAAAATGTGGGAATGGAAGCAGCAGCGGCGCCACCCATGCGACGGTCCCGCACTGACACGAGGCAGGAGAGGCAGGCGCGAGATCATAGGGAGCAGAGGGGGCTGATGGGTGCATATGCGAAACATGATGCGCCACCTCCCATGAGACGCTCACGGACTGACACGGAGCAGGAGAGGGGACGAGGACACGGCAGCAGGGTGCGGCAGAAGCAGAGAGGAGAGAAGTGGGCAGGAGGGGAGCAGCAGAGGGGAAGCAAGCAATGGGCGGGTGCTGCAGCGAGGCAAGACGCAGCCGAGCAGGTGCATGGAGCTACGGGAGGGGGTGCCCCAGCGCAGAGAGGAGGACCTGCTCATTCGCACCCTTGCTCGGTGAGTCCGGGGCAAAGGGCAGGGGGCTGTGGGTTGGGGGCAGAGGGCAGGGAGAAGGAGGCAAGAGGCAGTGGATACTGGGCAATGGGCACGAGGCAGACGGCGATGGCAGTGAAGAAGGGGGAGGTGGTGCCCCGGCGTAGAGAGAGGGACCCGCTCATCCGCACTGCTGTGAGTAGTGCAGGGCTGGTTCTGAGCGTGTGTAGTGACAAGATGCTCAAGTATGTGGGGCAGCAGCTGTGTGCTCTTCTGCTGTGTGCTCTTCTGCTGTGTGCTCTGCTGCTGTGTGCTCTGCTGCTGTGTGCTCTGCTGCTGTGTGCTCTGCTGCTGTGTGCTCTGCTGCTGTGTGCTCTGCTGCTGCTGTGTTTCATCCCGTCCCTGCCCTGTGCACACTCTTCCCCTTCCCATGTGCTGCTGCTGTGTGTGCTTGGAGAGGGCAAGTCACAGAAATTCTGGTGCTGGACAACTGACAGTGGCAGGCAGGCATGACGACATGACATGACGTTTACAACTCATAAGGATGACTGACAACAACAATGGTGACAAGCCTCTTGCTACACGGCTTGGCATACGTTTCACTCCAGACTCATGTTCCGCTCACGCACTTGTTTCTGTCCATCCACCCTCATGGTAACTGGCAGCCCTGTGGGCTGCCGGCGATGATTCACACTGATGTAAATGCAAGTGCCAATGCCTTTCGGTGAATGTCTACCATCCCATCTCCTACACAGAGCTTGGCTAGATCTCATCTCATGCCATTCTTGCTCCCAGTTCCCAGATTCATGGAAATGCGTTTCTTATCTCAGAACCGATTCAGACCAGGGCCAGCCTTTCATATTGGTGCATGATAAGTTGCCACCAGGCCAGGGCCTTATCAGTGTAATATACTCCTTTTCCCTACTCATTTACTGAATTATAGTTCTGTGCTAAACAGCCAGCATGCAGTCGCTATGGGAAAACTCAACGCCCAGTGGCTGGCTTCAATTGCAGCCAACCCTTAAGGCCATCACCTATCGAGCCAGCGCGCATGAATGCGCTCACACCAGACTGTGAGCCACGAGACTTCCCAGACTCCCTCCCACTGTCTTCAAATGACGCAGCAGAAACATCACTTGAAGACATACCCTCATTGTTTGCACTCTCTTCTGTCACGATACTCTCCCACTCATCCTCCTTGGCGGGGCAGTGCTTGGCAATGAGGGCGTTGAGGCGGTATGCCACATCCTTCATGGTGGGTCGCCGTGTGCCGGGAGACTTGATGCAGTCCAGAGCCAGGTCTGCAAAGTCCACTATGGCCTCCTCGCTTGCCGCCGGCATCTTGCTGTCCCTCAGCTCCTCCAGCTCATACGCCTCCACCAGCTTCACTGCCTGCAGGGCGACCATGCAAGGAAGGGTGACCAACAGGAGACGAGGTGGACAGAAGCATGCTAAGCAGGAAAGGTGGTGCAAGGAGAACAAGGGCGGGCAGTGAAAGCCAGGATACTGCAATCACTGTCTCCAAGGCAGTGAAAGCCAGGATACTGCAATCACTGTCTCCAAGGCAGTGAAAGCCAGGATACTGCAATCACTGTCTCCAAGGCAGTGAAAGCCAGGATACTGCAATCACTGTCTCCAAGGCAATGAAAGCCAGGATACTGCAATCATAGATTATCTGAGATGTGTCATAGATTACATGAGATCATAGATTATTTCATACCCATTTTCTTATATGGGTTTTTGCGTCAATTCGGGCTGACTTTCCGCTCAGCAACTCGAGAAGCACGATTCCAAAGCTGCAAGCAACCAAATGGACATGGAGGACGGAACGTGAAAATGGACAGAGGTAGAGATATCAATACAGGGTACGGAAACTTAACATATGCTGGGATGTAAAAACAAAGAAAGACATAATGAAAGAAAAAGCTGGCAAGATTTCCGCTGTGCAACGGAACAAGCATGCGGGCAAGTTCATCGCGCTGTGCAACGGAACAAGCATGCAGACCTGAAGACGTCACTCTTGGTTGTGATGACGTTGGTGCGGTTGTAATCCGGATCCACATAGCCCGGAGTGCCGGCCACCCGAGTGGCATCAGCATCGCCGTGAGTGAGGCGCTTGAGCAGCCCAAAGTCAGCCACCTTGGCTTGCATGTCGGCAGTCACAAGGATGTTGGCTGGCTTAATGTCGCGGTGAACGATGGCTGTCTCAAACCCATGCAGGTACGCCAGGCCCTCTGCTGCTCCCTGTGCCAGGCGCAGCCTTTGGCGCAGCGAGAGCGGACCTGGGTCATGAAACATGAAGACGGAGCAAAAAGGGTGATTCTATGAGTGATGGTTTCATGTCATGGGCAAAATAACAGATGTGTGGTAACCATTCAGCCATCGTGCCAGCGCGACTCACGCTTGGTCCTGTGGATATGGTACTCGAGGTCTCTGTTGGCCATAAACTCATACACTAGGATCTGCTCCTGCTTGCCCGTCTCCACGTTCTGGTCCAGACAGAAGCCCAGCAGGCGCACGAGGTGTGTGTGGTGAAGAGAGGCCATGGCTCGCACCTGCAGTGAGAACCCAATACAGGCAGACGCACATGGGCATGGAAAGGCGAGCTTTAGTCCAAATGAAAGCCCAGCAGGGATGCACATTGGCTTGAAAAGGTGAGACGTGCATTTGCAGGTCATTATCTTGGGGAGCAGAGAGTGCCGTGTCGTCTCGTGACGTCTTTTTTCGTGCACAGGGAACTAGAGGCATGCCTCACCTCCGTTTCAAAGTCGTTGGTCATGATGGTGCCTCACCTCCGTTTCAAAGTCGTTGGTCATGATGGTGCCTCACCTCCGTTTCAAAGTCGTTGGTCATGATGGTGCCTCACCTCCGTTTCAAAGTCGTTGGTCATGATGGTGCCTCACCTCCGTTTCAAAGTCGTTGGTCATGATGGTGCCTCACCTCCGTTTCAAAGTCGTTGGTCATGATGGTGCCTCACCTCCGTTTCAAAGTCGTTGGTCATGATGGTGCCTCACCTCCGTTTCAAAGTCGTTGGTCATGATGGTGCCTCACCTCCGTTTCAAAGTCGTTGGTCATGATGGTGCCTCACCTCCGTTTCAAAGTCGTTGGTCATGATGGTGCCTCACCTCCGTTTCAAAGTCGTTGGTCATGATGGTGCCTCACCTCCGTTTCAAAGTCGTTGGTCATGATGGTGCCTCACCTCCGTTTCAAAGTCGTTGGTCATGATGGTGGATCGCTTGATGGCCCACAGCTGGCCCTGTGGCGAGCGGCCTTTGTACACAATGCCAAAGCCGCCCTTGCCCAACACATTGTCGTCCGACCAGTTGTTGGTGGCATTCAGCATCTGCTGCAGCGTGAATTGCTCGCACACATCCAACCCCTCCCACTTCTCTGCGCACGGAAAATTTCCAGACCAGAAGTGTGAGGGACTAAGGGTATAGATGCGTGGACAGAGCATGAGGGCAGAAGAGAGGCACGAAAAATGGGAGAGGTGAGGAGCAGGGAAGGAAGCCAGGAAATAGGTGCAGCAACAGGAGAAGAGCAGCAATGGTTGACATGGAATGGAAGTGAAGAAGAGCAGCAATAGGGAAGCTGGAATGGAGCTGAAGAAGGGTTGAGAGGCTCACTTGGTCCGCGGGGCCACAGCAGCCATGCGAGCACCGCAGCCAGCAGGGAGAAGCCAGCAAAGCTGCCCAGAACAATGCCCACTATGGCGCCCGTGGACAGAGACGACACTGCCAAGGAAGGGGTGGTTAAGGAAAATGGTGGTGGTTGAGCCAAGGAAAGGACATGGGGCAGTGATAAACGTGTGCATAGCAGAAGCCTCATGAAACGTGGCTACTTGTGCAGAACATAGGAATGAGGCAGTGCTGTGGAGCTGTAAGAACGAAGCAAGGGTTACCAGTGGTGGTGGTGGAGTGGACGATGGCACACGTGGAGGAGGCGTTGGCCGAATTGACAGCGGAGTAGCCGGCATCACAGAGGCACGTGAAGTTGGAGGGGGAGGCGGGGTCAGCCGGAACACACGCCCCATGGCCGTCACACGGGCCAAGGTCAGTCATGCTGCAGAACGCCTGGCAAGCCGCTGTGCTGCGCTGGGTGGCGTTAGCCGAGCACTTGCTGCTCGGGGTGAGGGTCAGGCAGTTGCCCGACAGGCTCACCCTCGCCCTCTTGCCTGCCCCTGCCACGGATACACTCGAAGCAAGGCTGCCGCACTTGCCACCATAATTCTGCCATGCAGTGGTGTCCCTTATGCCCAGGCTGTTGGGCTCGCTGACCTCGGTGGGGCAGACCTTGCAGCCGGCAGCAAAGAGCGCGCCGTCGCCAAAGAAGAAGTTGTGAGACAAGTTGATGAGGTCACTGTCATCCGCCGCTATGTTCTCGAAGTCGCGGTTGATGCGCCCGTACAGGCTGTTGCCGCTCACATCACTGTAAGAAGCACAGGGGAATCACGGAGGGCAGAAATTTATATTGAGGGTTTGTTCGGATGCCGTCCCACCAGATAATGATGTCTGTGCAATGCCCATGTTGAGGGTGCGAGCTGACATGGATGGTACTGAGAATAGAGTATGCATGGTAGGCATGGTATGCATGGTCGGCATGGTAGGCATGGTAGGCATGGTAGGCATGGTAGGCATGGTAGGCATGGTATGCATTATACCTGTGCAAAGGGGCAAGCCGAGTAATGCTCGAATCGTCCCTAGCCTTGCTCGGCCGAGTATCGAGCCGAGTCGAGTAATACTCGGCCGAGCTTTTTTCCCCAAAACTGAAACTCGTTACTCGCCTTATATAAGGGAACTCGGACGAGCATTTAGAAAAGCTCGTCCGAGTTCGAGTAATGCTCGCCCCGCTGCCCTGTAACTGCAAAAACAGGCGCCCTCACAATCACCACGGACGCATCCAGCTAGCTAATGAAGGAATATCGGAGTAGACTAGCGGGGAAGGGAGGGGGTTGTGTTGTGACGAGATCTGAAGTTGGAACGGGTGGTTGGGATTTTTGTAGATTCAGTGCGGTGAACAGAGGTAAGTGGTGGCGACTTGGTTGGGAACTCAAGGCGGAAAATTGTCGGTGAATTACAGTGGTCGGGGAAGCAATATTCCGCCCGCCAAATTACAGTAGTTGGGCTCGACCGATATGACACGATATGTGGCGGACATCGCCGATCTGCGCAGCGATATCGCCAATCTGCGCGGATCGGCGGCGAAATAGTGCCCGAGTACTCGACGAGCAAAAAAAACTCGGCGAGTAAAACTCGGGTCGACTCGGACGAGTAAATTTTACAAAAAAACGAAACTCGTTACTCGCACCCAAACGAGTAACTCGGCCGAGTCCGAGCGAGTAACTCGTCTCGTTGCACAGGTATAGTATGCATGGTAGGCATGGTAGGCATGGTAGGCATGGTAGGCATGGTAGGCATGGTAGGCATGGTAGGCATGGTAGGCATGGTAGGCATGGTAGGCATGGTAGGCATGGTATGCATGGCAGGCATGGTATGCATGGTAGTATGCATGGTCTGCATGGTATGCATGGTAGGCATGGTATGCATGGCAGGCATGGTAGGCATGGTATGCATGGTATGCATGGTATGCATGGTATGCATGGTATGCATGGTATGCATGGTATGCATGGTATGCATGGTAGGCTCACATGTGGCTGATGCACTTGCTAAAGAAGCAGTCTGGCAGGGCTCCATACAGGTAGTTGTTGCTCATCATGCTGCCAGCAGCGCAGCACACACCATGGCGCACTGTGAGTCACACACCCATGCAGAATGGCAAACACACAAAAGTAAAACTATTGCCCCCATTTCAACAATCTCCAAGGTAATGAAAACAGGAGAGGAGTAAGTCTCGGCTGGCCAAGAAAAATAAAAAACGATCATGTGTTGCTCACAAGCGCCAGAGCCAGGGCAGCGAGCACAGGGCAGTTGGCAGAGGGCCTTCGATCTTGTTGTTGTCCAACCAGCTGCGGGGGACGGGCAGAGTGTTGGCAGACCAAAGGCGGGACCGGCTGCATCAAGAGCAGGGGGTGGAGTGGCGTGGGGATGGCACAAGTGCGTGTTTGCGTGTTTTGGTCTCTTGTGTTCATTTCACAGTGTGGAAGCTTGCTAGGTTTCTTATAGAACCGACGTACTACACGCTTGTCCTTGTGATGCCTATGTTGTTTCCTGAGCTGCCACCGTTCTTGAGAAATGTAGAGGAAGGCACATAGCAGCCTCACATCTGTTCAAGATTCTCCAGTTGGCTGATGGCATGTGGCAGGCTGCCAGTCAGATGGTTGTTGGCCAAGTAGCTGACGGGCAATAGTAATGGCAGGGAGACACAGCGACGTATTTGAAGGGCAATGGCAGGGAGACACAGCGACGTATTTGAACGGCAATGGCAGGGAGACACAGCGACGTATTTGAAGGGCAATGGCAGGGAGACACAGCGACGTATTTGAAGGGCAATGGCAGGGAGACACGGCGACGTATTTGAAGGGCAATGGCAGGGAGACACAGCGACGTATTTGAAGGGCAATGGCAGGGAGACACAGCGACGTATTTGAAGGGCAATGGCAGGGAGACACAGCGACGTATTTGAAGGGCAATGGCAGGGAGACACAGCGACGTATTTGAAGGGCAATGGCAGGGAGACACGGCGACGTATTTGAAGGGCAATGGCAGGGAAACATTCGGATGAGAAGCAGCGGATGCAATAGGAGTGCAGGCTGGTGCGGGAAAGTACCATTGGGCAGAGGTAGAAACGTGTGATGGGCACTTAGAAAGGGGATCCCTAAACACATGAGGCTTACATGTACGTCAGATTCCTCATGGTGAAGATGGCTGAAGGGATGGTGCCTGTCAGCTGGTTGTTGTTGAGAAAACTGCAGAGCAGGGAATAGCAACGGGTAGAATGAAGCATATGTAGCTGCGTGTGCGCATAGGCTGCCACTGCTATCTTTCTCCTGCCATAGGCACTACGACTCGTTGAGTTTTGAGGCGCCCCAAAACACAGCATCCCACCTTGTTCAGATGGGAACAGCCCCCCCATGCATGGATATGTGCTCATGGCAGGCAGGCATTACGGCACGTTGTGGCACAAGAAGGCTAGCGTTGCTACGTCGAGGCATGTGTTTTGGCTAGTAGAGGCACAAGAAGAGAAGAGGAGCCTCACAAGCCAATGAGGGAGGTGAGGGTGGAGATGGAGTCGGGAATCGACCCTGTGAGGTTGTTGCCGCTGAGATTTCTGCGCCACAAACAACACAGGCGAGGCAGCAGCGAGATAACCTGACGTGAGTGGGGTGAACGCAACAGCTTACTATGGATGCAACAGCTTACTATGGAAGCAACAGCTTACTATGGGTGCAATGCACTGTATGCAAAAATGAGCATTTGACCCAACTGACCCGACCTGACCCGATTTGGGCGGTCCAGGCCGGTACCGGGTCGGGTCAGGTCCAGTCTTCCCGGGTTGGAGTTTCCAAAAGCCTGACCCGCCCCTGGGTCAGGTACAGAAACCTGATTTCGCCTGCCCCTGTGTCGGCTCTGCACAGATCTGGCAGCGGAATGCACGTAAGATTTGATTTTGATTTCAAGCGTTGTTTAGAGTGGGAAAAGGAGGAAGAGCGTTGTTTAGAACGGGAAAAGGAGGAAGAGCGTTGTTTAGAGTGGGAAAAGGAGGAAGCGAGTGAGAGAAAGCTTAATTACATCTGTTCACAGCTGACGTTCCAGCGTGAGAAGTCTGGTAAGGAGCCCGTGAAGCCATTCCCTCCCAGGCCACTGCACAATTCAAAAGGAGGCGAAGATTCCAGGGGCACGAAAGTTAACCATGAAGGGACAGTGTTTCACCGGCACACACAATGGTGGCGACACACATAGTGGTAGCAGCACACAGTGGTATACCAAGCACATTGGTTCAACACCTTACAGCATGTGAAGAGACTGTGAGACCGTGAGAGCCCTTGGGAGTTCCCCAGAAAGAGAGTTGTGAGATACATCCCTGGGCTCAAACAATTAAAGGGAAGGCTGGATGCAGCAGTCAGAATACCAAGGATACTGCCAACCGTAGCACATGAATGCACTGTGGGCTCTGCGAGGCTGACAACGAGCTTGGGGTGGAAAGTTGGAACAGACATGTGCCAACCAGAGCACAAGAATGCATCGTGGCCTCTGCAGGACGGCTATTGAGTCGACTCAAATGCATTCATCTGCTTTGGCACTCAAATACTGACTCACTGCACATGAATGCATCGTGGCAGGAGAGCAGAGTACCAGGGAAATTACTGCTCAGTTGCAAATTATTATTTGACATATCAGGGATAGTATTATTTAGTTTTGTATGCATGCTCAGATCTTCACCTTTTCATTGAGAGAAAGACAATGTGGAATAAAAAGAATCTTCCGAAACAGGTGTATTGGAGCTACTTACAGCCAGAACAACTTGGGTAGCCGAAGCAGGCCGAATGGGATAGCTCCATGAAAATTGTTGTTTTTGAGATATCTGCACAATGGTATCAAGAGCCTCAATCAAAGTGACCTCAAAAATTCAAGCACAAGGCTAAACGGATCCACAATTCGCCGCAGTGCAACTTACAAGTGGCCCAGGCGGACGAGCTTGGTCAATTCGTGGGGGATGGTCCCTGTGAAACTGTTGTTGGCCAAGTTCCTGCCATCACCATTTTGATTGCGATTGCCATTTGAGTTGTTCATGCAGGAGGAAGCACTGCAAGAAATGGCAGCAGTCACTTCACCAGGGCAACCCGCCTTTGTTTTAGTGAGGTCATGCATGGATGCATGGTCACGCAGGAATAAAAGGCTCTTCTGTGCAGCTACGCTGGAAACAAACCAAACGAGAGTGAGCCGGTTCGGCTCGGACTGTGCTTTGTTTTGCTTGCGTTTCAGTGCAAATCGCTTTTGTTCAAGGCCACAAGTGCATGTCTTACAAGAAAAAAAGGAACTCCTGTTGCAGAATAAAACCCGGGAAGGTTCCGATGAAATGGTTGTTTCCAACATCCCTGAATGAGGTCCAGGGCATGGTGGGGAAACAATGAAACAAATACATAGGAGAGCACGCATTCATTCATTCGCTCATGTACAGGCCACTGCATACGTGCTCTGGCACTTACACATGAATGCAGGAAAATAGTTGTGAAGATATAAAAATGTACAAGTGCATACATGTATGCACGCAACAAGCGCTCATCCAGCATGAATTGGAATACAAGGCTACATGAACTGATAACAGAAGCGCAGGCACACAAATACTCAGGTGAACTTAGAACAGGGGCAGTCACAGCGCTTACTGTTGCTGCATCCCACCCACCCGATTAGGTGCAACGAAAGAGGTTGTTGCACTGATGAGGTGAGAGATGGATCGAGTAGACTCACAGGCTGAAGAGGCTACTGATTGCTGTGAAGGACGATGGAATCACACCGGAGAAGCTGTTGTTAGCAATCCATCTGCATTGGCAGTATTGGAGAGAGCGTCCTATTTTGAGACATCTCACAACATGGTTTGAGTGTTTGGAGACGTCTCAAAACATCTGCAGAGCCAGTATTGGAGAGAGCGTCCTAGCTCAGATGTTGCAGGAAGCCAAAGCGGACCAAGAGAAGCGATGGAAAGCAAGGTGATCGCCAGCTGAGGTGGTGCAGAGGGGAGAGCACGCTGCACTTACATCTCGTTGAGCCATGGCATCTGAGCCACCACGTCAAGGCCTGAGGTGAGATTGTTGGACGAAATGTCTCTGTCATGTGGAGCCCATGCACGTGCGCGCACACACATAATATACACGCATGTCGCGCGCGTGTGCGAGCGCGCGCACACACACACACGCATGTCGCACGCACACACAAACAGATATAGGCAACCAGCACAATGCTGGAAAAGTTGCAACTATGGCCGAACGAGGCACAGCAAAGAACAATCAGTAACACGTGAGGCCCTCCGATTGATTGTGCACATGCAACAGTTTCATGTTGTGGGGGCAAGGAGAGAAACATGGGGGGAGCACAGCTTGGGAAGAGACATACAGACGATACATCCCACTGAGACGAGTGAAGGTGGTGGGGATGGCTCCTGTGAACTGATTGTGGGATAGTTGACTGCAGCCAGAGCAGCCAAAAAGGAACCATTGCAGATTGGTAAGGGCGTGACGCGAGATTTGAGTAATGTGGAAGACAGAAAGTGCTGGTGGCGAATAGGCATGGAAGCTTGAAGATGAGTTCTAAAAAGGTGGGGAAACAATAGGGTGTCTCACAGTTCGGCGAGGTAGGGTAGTTCCCCCAGCTGTGGTGGAATGGGCCCACTGAAGTTATTGTAGCCGAGCAATCTGGATAGGCAGACAGGCCATGAGAGGTGGGCAGACAAATTTTTCGACGGTTGGGTGTCACTCCTAAAGAGTGGTGGGATGTGATGTTTGGAAAAAGGGGAAGTTTGGACCAAAAGATGCGAGGCCACGGGGAATAAGCGGGGCAAGAAGGGGGGAGGAGGGATGAGGAAGCTGATGGTGAAATCAGGACAAGAGAGAAGGGATACAAGACTGCAGTCAGAGGGATGAAGGAAAGAGAGGGGCAAAGAAAGTCAAAAAGATGTAGAGATTAAAACAATGCAGGAGCGGGAGTGAGGGGGGAGGGAGATCTATGCTGGGATGTAGAGAGAAACATGGGGTGGGTTTTGCGGCTTCGCATGGCAGGGTAAGGCAGGAAGCCATGAGATGACTTTGTCAGGATGTTGGTGGTGCAGGTGTGAGGTGAGGTGAGGTGAGGTGAGGTGAGGTGAGGTGAGGTGAGGTGAGGTGGTCATCGAACCAACAATTGGGAATTACATAAAGGTTGATTGGAGTGGGACAAGATGTGTTGTGGGTTACACCGGGTTGGGATTTGGAGCAGTTCTAATATGGCATGGAGCTGGAGGGGGGAATCAGGCAACGGTGAAGCTTGGACCAAAGGATACGAGGCCACGGGTGACAGAAACGGTGTGGGAATCAGCTGCAGGCAGCCTGGGTGGGTGAAAACAAGTAGTGGTGTGCTTTTGAGTCGACTAAAAAACGGGAATCAGCTGGAGGGCATTTGTTCACAAGCCCGGGTGGGTGAAAGCAACGGAGTGGTGTGGACCATTATTGAGTCGACTCAAAAATCGACTTATCACACATGGAGGTGGAGTGGAGGGAATCAGGCTGGGTGATAAGCCTGGGTGGGTGATAAGCCTGGGTGGGTGATAAGCCTGGGTGGGTGATAAGCCTGGGTGGGTGATAAGCCTGGGTGAGTGATAAGCCTGGGTGAGTGATAAGCCTGGGTGGGTGATAAGCCTGGGTGGGTGATAAGCCTGGGTGGGTGATAAGCCTGGGTGGGTGATAAGCCTGGGTGGGTGATAAGCCTGGGTGAGTGATAAGCCTGGGTGGGTGATAAGCCTGGGTGGGTGATAAGCCTGGGTGGGTGATAAGCCTGGGTGGGTGATAAGCCTGGGTGGGTGAAGGCAACGGAGTGGTGTGGAGTGGACCATCCCAGTGGATCTAAGGGCGGCTCCTTCCAAAGGGAGGGAGTGCATGGGTACCATACCAACGTGCAGCTCCAGCGATTGGCTTTCTGCAAGTGATGGCTTTTTGCATGATTGGCTGAAGGCATCAATGCTAGCAGAGGCGGTCAAAGGACGGCAGAGGCTGCTGCCTTGTGCAAAAGCAGCAGCATGAAGAAAAAGACAGAAGGTGAGTCACGAAAGTGCACTGATTCACGAAGGTATGGGATGCAGAATGTGCTTGGGTTAGGCCTGAGAAGCTGGGGCAGGCGGCGGTGGGAAGAGTAACATACATTGACTGGACGCTGGGGAAGTAGGCGGAGGGAAGAGTGACATACATTGACTGGACGCTGGTGGCAAATGCAGGGGGTATTGTGCCAGACAGTTGGTTATACGAAAGGTCTCTGCAGTAGAAGGGGAGGCAACAAGTGGTGTACTGAGTGGGGAAGGCATGCGGGGGATGGGACAATAGGAGATGGGAGACAAGGACAATGGGAGACAAGGACAACGGGAGACAAGAACAATGGGAGGGAAATGGGGGGAACACAGGAAGCTTACATTGCAGTTAGCTCTGTCAGGGCGGAGAATGTTGCCGGAATTGTTCCTTGAAACTTATTGGCTCCCAAGTTTCTGATAAGAAAGGGAAAAAAAAATACTGCGTTATTCGTAGAGCTGCAAAGGTAACCTGGGTGAAGATAAGAACCTCGGGATTGTATTGGATGAGGATTTGTGAACGGTTGTGCACTTTGGATGCATATGGTTTTTGAACAGTGTGGGGGGAGAGGGGTGGGGGAGGGGGAGGGTGGTTAACATGTTGGGCAAACGTGTTTGTGTTCGCCTAGTGGCCGCATTTTTGAGTCGACTCAAAAGTACCGAGTCACCTCTTTTGAGTCGACTCAAAAGTCACTTTGTTTAATGTCATGTCATTAACAGAGAACACGTCGCAATACATGTTTGCGCTCGCCTAGTGGGTGCATTTCACTATTGCAATGATTTTGAGTCCGTTACACAACAAGAAGACATTGTTGCAGCGTATGTTAACATAAGAACAGAGTTGGTGCCACTAATCCTGAATACGAAGAACCCAACCGAACCGAGCATTTCCAGGAAAAATATCAGTGTATATAGCAGAGTGTTGATGGCATGCATGGGTATATCATATATGGCAACAGCAATGAGGCTCATGCTGCTGCCAACAGCCCAGCAGTGGGCCAGCGTGAAGCTATGGTAGATAGAAACCGTATGGCATCATGGCAGCATGGCAGCATGGCAGCATGGCAGCATGGCAGCATGGCAGGATGGTATGGCAAAACAGTAACTCACAGCTGTCGCAGATGGACCAGGCTCGTCCAGCTATGGTGACTTTTGAGTCGACTCAAAAGTCACCTCTAATGGCAGCATGGCAGGATGGCAGCATGGCAGGATGGCAGCATGGCAGGATGGCAGCATGGCAGGATGGCAGCATGGCAGCATGGTAGCATGGCAGGATGGTAGAATGGCAGGATGGTAGCATGGCAGGATGGTAGCATGGCAGGATGGTATGGCAAAACAGTAACTCACAGCTGTTGCAGATGGACCAGACTCGTCCAGCTATTGGTCAGGTAGCCTTCCAGGTTGTTTCCGTGGAGGGACCTGCAGAGTGTGGGAGCAAGCAGCAGATGGACGCTTGAGTATTAACTGATGGAAGTCATGAGAAACAAGGGCGGGATTTACGAGTGCTTTTTCCTGCCCTACCAGAGACAGCAATGCAGCAACAGCGACAGTGTGAGCGGGCCACGGTACGTTTATCTACGCTTATGTGTGTACATATCACTTCTATGAGACGCACTTGTCGTGTATGTTATCTGCTTTTCCAACACCTCAACAGCGACAGTGTGAGCGGGCCACGGTACGTTTATCTATCCATATCATTCAGCAAACGCTTATGTGTGTACATGTCACTTCTATGAGACGCACTTGTGTACATGTCATCTGCTTTTGCAACACCTCAACAGCGCTACTTCACGAGTAAGTTGAAAACCTAACCCTTTAAAAAAATTACATCTAAAATATACGAGCCGATGAGCCACATCCAAGCAAGCATGCTCGCTGCACACACAAACACGCTAAACTCAAAGGCTGGTGAGTGCTGCGAGGTGAGAGATGTAGTCGTTCAATTAACGTCCCTGCCGCTGTGGATCATCCGAGTCCTCGCTCCCACACATGCTATACTCACAAGCATGCTTGCCGTTAAACTCACAGGCTGGTGAGTGCTGCGAGGTGAGAGATGTCGTCATTCAGCAATCGCCCCTGCCGCTGTGAGTGTGGATCGTCTACATTCAGGTTCCTGCTCACAAGAAATTGCCGGCAGGAGAGTGAGTGTGGATCGTCTACATTCAGGTTCCTGCTCACAAGAAATTGCCGGCAGGAGAGTGAGTGTGGATCGTCTACATTCAGGTTCCTGCTCACAAGAAATTGCCGGCAAGAGTCGGCGCACTGAGACAGGACAAGCCCAATCACCACCTTTGCACCATTGGACAGTGGATAAGGAGAACCATTGACACACGCCACATGTGGATAAGGAGAACCATTGTCACACGCCACATGTGGATAAGGAGAACCATTGACACACGCCACATGTGGATAAGGAGAACCATTGACACACGCCACATGTGGATAAGGAGAACCATTGACACACGCCACATGTGGATAAGGAGAACCATTGACACACGCCACATGTGGATAAGGAGAACCATTGACACACGCCACATGTGGATAAGGAGAACCATTGACACACGCCACATGTGGATAAGGAGAACCATTGACACACGCCACATGTGGATAAGGAGAACCATTGACACACGCCACATGTGGATAAGGAGAACCATTGACACACGCCACATGTGGATAAGGAGAACCATTGACACACGCCACATGTGGATAAGGAGAACCATTGACACACGCCACATGTGGATAAGGAGAACCATTGACACACGCCACATGTGGGGAACGGGGCGTGTGTCAATGGTGGGAACGAGATTAAAGCTGGAGGAGATTAAAGCTGGAGGAGATTAAAGCAGGGGGAGCTCACAGAAATTGAAGGTTGGAGAGTTGAGTGACCCAATCGGCTTTTGGGGCCCCTCAAAAGGCGCCTCAAAAGGCGCTTCAAAAGGTGCCTCAAAAGGCGCTACAAAAGGCGCCTCAGAAGGAGCTCACAGAAATTGAAGGTTGGAGAGTTGAGTGACCCAATCGGGAAACTCCACGGCACGAAGATAGGATAGATCCCTGCAGCAAGGGAGGAAGGCAAGAGCAGCGAGGAAAGCAAGAGCATGTCCTGTCTAAAAGAGATCCCTGCAGCAGGGAGGTGGGCAAGAGCATGTCTTGTCTAAAATAGGTTCCCGCAGGGAGAAAAGCAAGAGCATGTCCTCTCTAAAAGAGGTTCCCGCAGGGAGGGAAGCAAGAGAATGTCACGTACAAGCCAATAGAGCTGCAGACATGCCGGCGAGGGAATGGAGAGGTGTGAATCGCGCACATGAATGAACTTGCTTTACCTGCGTGTCCCACTGGACTTGAGAGGAGCTCACAGTACAGTGAGTGCAGTCATGTACTGAAGCTCTCTGGGTATCTCCCCTGTGGCGTTGAAGGCAGAAAGCTGCAGCCATGTCTGGCGACGAACAGACTTGCTTCACTATGTAGTCATGTCCTGCTTACAGTACAGTGAGTGCAGTCATGTACTGAAGCTCTCTGGGTATCTCCCCTGTGGCGTTGGTGAGCGAACGGAGTTCCCTGCACTCATGCACATGCCATCAGCAGAAATGAGCGACCATGCCATCAGCAGAAATGAGCGAACTACCATTGGCAATTGCGAGCTGGTATGGACCAACTCTCATGGTGACATGCAGATTAAGAATAGGAGAAAAGAAAGCGGATGAGGAAGATTAAGAATAAGGAAAGGATGCCACAACAGTACGTTCTTGCACTGAACTGCAATGATGCTTACAGCTGCTGAAGGCTTTTGAGGTGAGACAGGATGTGCAGGGAGGACAAGTCCCCAGTGAATTCCACCAAGCTCACTAGACCCCTGGGTTATGAGTGAGAGGGAAGCGAGGTATGGGAGAAGCCATGGGGGGGGTAGGATAGTCGGGAATTTTTCTAGTTTTGAGGCGCCTCAAAACTAGGGAGGACAGGAGCCCAAGCCCACTAGACCCCTGGGTGATGAGTGAGAGGGAAGGGAAGCGAGGTACAGGAGAAGAGAAGCCATGGGGGGTGTGGGATAGTAGCATGGCTTTAGAGACGACTCAAAAATCGCGTAGCATGGGGATTTCTGCGATGTGGCATGCTGGAGCGATGTGGCATGCTGGAGCGATGTGGCATGATGGAGCGATGTGGCATGCTGGAGCGATGTGGCATTCAGCGTGGGTGAGAGACAACTTGGATTCCAATCATTGCAAAGCTGAGTGACACTGTCATGACATTCATTGCTTGCAGGCCCCGCATGCTTGTAGGGAGAACATTGTTTGCATGGTGTACAGCCTTTGAAATGCGTACAGTGCTTGCAAGGCATGCAGTGCTTGCAAGGCATGCAGTGTTTGCAAGGCATGCAGTGCTTGCAAGGCATGCGGTTTTTGCAGGGCGTACAGAGATTGCAAGGCGTACAGAGATTGCAAGGCGTACAGAGATTGCAAGGCGTACAGAGATTGCAGGTTGGTGAGGGAGGAGAGCCAAGCCAGTCCTTCCAGAGTGCCAGTCAGCCTGTTGCCTTCCAACCCACTGAGTGCAGTGAATTGGATGGATGGATGGATGGATGGATGGATGGATGGATGGATGGATGGATGGATGGATGGATGGATGGATGGATGGATGGATGGATGGATGGATGGATGGATGGATGGATGGATGGATGGATGGATGGATGGATGGATGGATGGATGGATGGATGGATGGATGGATGGATGGATGGATGGATGGATGGATGGATGGATGGATGGATGGATGGATGGATGGATGGATGGATGGATGGATGGATGGATGGATGGATGGATGGATGGATGGATGGATGGATGGATGGATGGATGGATGGATGGATGGATGGATGGATGGATGGATGGATGGATGGATGGATGGATGGATGGATGGATGGATGGATGGATGGATGGATGGATGGATGGATGGATGGATGAATGGATGGATGGATGGATGGATGGATGGATGGATGGATGGATGGATGGATAAATGGGATGGATGGATGGATGGATGGATGGATGGATGGATGGATGGATGGACGGACGGACGGACGGACGGACGGATGGATCCACAAACACGCAGCATGCATGCAGCAATTGAACACATGCATGTTCAATGGGAGAATGGAAATTGGAACACATGCCACCCACATGGGGTGTAGGGTTTAGGTGAAAAAACAGGAGCTACATTATGAAGTGAGCGACAAGAGCAGGAGTTTCTGTAGGGGCGACGGGCAATGAATGGCAAACAAAAAGGGACTGGAAGTGAGGAAGCATGAGGTGGAAGCGAAAACCAAACGTCTCCCATCTCGAGATTTAGAAGGGAACGGGGGTTGAGCTAGCGAGCGCAGGATCAGGGCGTGAGGAGGAGTGAAGGGTTGATGAGCATATCGGTTAAGGGAGGAGCCAGGGAAGAGCAGCACGCACAGGTGGGTGAGGCCGGTGAGAGTGGCGAGGGATGGATGACTTTCGAGGTGACTACTGATCGACTCAAAAGCCATCGCTAAGAAGCACGCACAGGTGGGTGAGGCCGGTGAGAGTGGCGAGGGATGGAATGGGCCCCTCCGGATCGATGTTGTAGGTCAGATCTCTGTGGGATGGGATGGGAGTGCGGGAACAACAGTGGAGAAGTCAAGAGAACAACAGTGGAGAAGGCAAGTGAAAGATAGAATGGAGTCTTGAGATAGAATGGATCGATGCCCTGGCACTAGAAAGGTTAAGCTTTGTGAGGGAGGCATGCAACGGTGCGACTTTTGAGAATTCTCAAAAGGCAGCTGAAAGATAGAATGGAGTGTTGAGATATGTGGCACTAGAAAGGTTGAGCTTTGTGAGGGAGGCATGCACGGGCAAGGCGAGAGTATGGTCAGTTGTGGCGTGGACGAGATGGAAGGACGGAGCATAACGGAAGGAAGGATGGAAGGCTGGCGCATGGGAAACGAAGGGCATGGTGGAGGAAGAGGGTGGGTGGGTGGGTGGGTGGGTGGGTGGGTGGGTGGGTGGGTGGGTGGGTGGGTGGGTGGGTGGGTGGGTGGGTGGGTGGGTGGGTGGGTGGGTGGGTGGGTGGGTGGGAGGTGACGGACAGATATTGCAGAGCGGCGAGAGTGGTGATGGAGGCAGGTATGGAGCCATTGGCCGGAGGATCCAGTTCAGAGAATAACCTTCCACCCCTGCCAGACAACACATGCACGCATGCACACACGCAATACCAGCTCCCATTGCTCCCCCACCTCCCAACCACCCCAGATCCCTTCCCTTCCCCAACACTCAGTCCTCCCCCATCCCGCCACCCCACATCCTCTACTTTCAACCCATTCCCCTCCCCGTTCCAATTGCGACTCCCTCCATGCTCCCGCACATAGTAGTAAAATCCATTCCATTCGATAAGAATGAATTTTGCAAGAGGAGCAGTCAATGGAAGGGTGAAACACTGAAACACAGGTGGGGAAACGGGGCAGAAGGCCAATGAGGGGTAAAGAAGGAGGGGTTGTTCGGAGGTGGTGGGACAAGCAGGGAAACAGAGCAACGAGGGGCAATTAGGGCAACGGACACCACGGGCAGGGAGGGACGGCATGAGACTCGCAGGGCAATGCGACTCACAGTGCAATGCGACTCACAGGGCAACGACGAGTCCTCTGGGGCTGCAGGTGATGCCAGTCCATGCAGAGCACGCCGTGGTGGCGTTGCTGTTGCCCGCCCACGTGCCCCACGCCGCCTTCAGCTGCAGCAGCACGCTCACTGCCAGTACGCCAGTTCAATGGGGCCAGATTCATGCAATTGACGTGGGGGGAGGGGTGGGGAGGGGAGGACGCAGCGGTGGCGTTGCTGTTGCCCGCCCAAATGCCCCACGCCGCCTTCAGCAGCACCTTCACTGCTGGCACAACCAGCGGGGAAATGGGAGCACATTCGTGCAATTGGGAGGGGCGGGGGAGGGGGGGAGGGGGTTTGGGGGGGCCACGCAGTGGTGGCGTTGCTGTTGCCCGCCCAGCTGCAGCAGCGCCTTCACTACCAACACAACCAGCGGGTAAATGGGGGCACATGTACCGCAAAAGGGAGGAGGAGGGGGGGGGGGGGGGGGGGGGGGGGGGGGGCGGGGGGGGGGGGGGAGGGGGGGGGGCCTTCACGACTGGCACAACGGGGAATTGGGAGCACATTTACTGTAGCAAAAATAGGGCGGGGGCTTCACTGCCGGCACATGATGGGCCGGGTGTGAAGTCGCGGCACTTGGAAGGGCAGCCCGGGCGCGCGCAATTTCTCGCTCTGCCCATGCGAAGAGGAGCTCTGAGTGCGGACTCCGAGTCCCATTTGGAATGCGACGATTATATCGCGTGAGGAAGCGCGCTGAGTGAGGAAGCGCGCTGAGTGAGAAAGCGCGCTGAGTGAGAAAGCTCGCTGAGAGCCTCTGAACTGGGCAAACCGACTCACGTTGCGAGTTTTCGAGAACGACGGGTCTAGCAGCGGCGGCGCTCGCGTCGGCCGCGGCGGCGCCGCCGCCGGTAGCGGCGAGCTTTAATAGCGAGCGTCGGGCGCGGCTGGGTCGCGCGCGAGACAGCAGGGCGCCGCGCTGTTTGGACAGACGGCGCGGGGAATCTCGACGCGGCGGTGGGCCGCGATTAGTAGTACTACTAGCGCCGTGCGTATCGCTGGAAATCGAGCAAGCAGCAGAGCCGCCGACAGTGAGCGTGAGGGCTGCGAGGAGGAGAACGCAAGCTCCGGCATTACTAGAGCGTGCGGCGGCACGCCCGGGAAAACGCATTATAACGATAGGCGGCGGCGTGCGGATTCTAAATCGTATCGTGTGAGCAAGGGAGAGTTTGGCAGGTCACAGCTTGGCAAACAAGTGGTACTACTTAGCGAGGTAGGAGCTCGACTGAAGGAGCTCGACTGAAGGAGCTCGACTGAAGGAGCTCACGATGTTTATTCTTTCTAGCTTTGCTCACCGCGGTGCGGTGCGGGAGGCGGTGGGGAAGGGGGGAAGAGAAGGAGGGGATAGAACACGCCTGCCAAACCAATGCCCTCACCTCACCTCACTCCAGATCAGGCTAAGTGAGGTTAGCTCGAAGCGCGTAGTATGTGGATGGGAGTATCGTCGTGTACAGTACAAGAGCCGGCACCTGGAATCGCGTAGACCTAGTGGCCTATCAGATGTCCTATATGTGCGATTCAAAACGGTCCAATTGTTTATTTCTATGTTCAAGTTACAGTACATTAATAAGTTCTTAGACATTCCTACAATGTTATAAATCCTTCCTAAATCCATCCTTATCTTATCTTCTCATATTTCTAGTGACACGTGGCACTCTAATTTTCTTATTTTACAATTCCTAGTCCCACAAAGTACTTTTCAACTATCGTTCTTCCATGCTCTAAGGAATTTTTCTACGGTACATTCGTTACTGAGCATCTCATCAGCGCTTACAAGACCAACAGTTCTTCGCCCATTACTTCTAACAGTATTTCGCCACCTTCGCGCGTCAACTTCACAAAATCACACACTGCTGGACTTGGTCGAGACGGCCTACGCTTTGGGAAACCTCGCTCCCAGCATTGCACTAGCTAGATCGCACGCATAGAGTTACCATTTGTTGTATTCGCACATGACTTCGCTCATACTTAGTACTCGTTTTGCTTCCTTGGTGCAATCTTCACTCGCTCGTTCAATTGCACATGTAACGCTTGGTATCTGTGCCACTTTCCTTCAGACCGCAAATTTCTGTAACCAGCAAAACCCAACTTTTGATTTCACTCGAAGGGACTTACGCCCCTCAGTGTACTAGGAGCCGCTGTATCCGTGCTCCCTCGTAAGCACCTGCAGCCACGACTGCGCCTAGCATCTAAGCCGGCCGACGCCCTTCGAAATGGCGGACCATATTAATCCCGCCGACCTCACCTAGGAGCGCCTGGATGAGCTGACGCGCCAACTACATGAAAGCGTCGACGAAATCGCGTCGTAGGCGGCAGAACGTGAGTCGCTCCAACGCGATGAAAACCGGTCACAAACGCAAACGCAAGAAACACCATGACCGACAGCACCAACAGCATCCCGACATTAGAGCGAGGGACAACGCTTGAATGCTGCTAGTGATAGCGTCACGTGCAACGAAGTTCGTGACGACCATGGGACGACACACTCCGAAGCGACAAATGCGGCAGATACTCAGCGACACATCTACACCACATCGCAGAATGATGTGTCAGCAATCCGTTCATTGATCCCACTCAAGCCCCAGCGTCCGCCATGCTTCGACCCGAGTCAACGGGGTGGTCCGACGGTTCAGGTGTGGATCTTCACCATGAACGTCTGTTTCGACTCCAACTATGTCTCGTCGGATGCGGCAAAAACCTGATACTCTGTGTTGTTGCTGCGAGGACCCGCCATGAATTGGTGGCGCATCATCGCCATGAAGAAGAGTGATTACGATCCGGTGCCGGAAAGACCATCCGGACCTTGGGCACCGTCGTATTTCGAGGATGTATCCTAGTATCGCACGTGGGACGCGTGGTAAGTGGGTCTAGGGAGGGAGATTTTGAGACGATTGTGGCATGAATTTCTGCCCGTCAGAAGCTGCGCAATTGGCGCCAGCTCGGATTCGTCCAATACTACACTAGTATATTTCTTGCGTTGCACGAGCGGGATACGTGCATGAAGTTGAGCACATCGAGCACTATTTCGGAAGGAATCGACGGAATCGGCGGTCGCTGAACGCGCACCACTCTCGTGTTGGCCCGTCATCCCTACGCGTCGACTACTAAGTTGGTGGATGGGACATGTACCATTTGCTGTTTATGTTGTGAGTTAGCTTGCTGAGTAACTTTGATTCAGCTAACCCTATCGAAGTTGTTTGCTTGCGCAAAACATGTCCTGGCAGAAGCAATGTTCTGGTCGCAGAGTGTGGTTGGCGACGTTTTGACATTGGAGCTAGTGTCGCACGGCAATTGTGGTAACAATGACGAAAACCCCAAAGTGGCGAACAACCCTGGACAATTTCGGGAACCCAACCTCCCCGTCATCCAATCGTATTTCTCCGCCCAATCATCCTTCCTAACTTTGAAACTCTTGGCCCTCCGGTTTTAAAGGCTGAAATCGCACAAGAAATCCTACTTTGCGGCATCACAGACTTCAATGAAATTTTCACCATGGCCAATAAACTTCGTCAACTGAGAATGGGGTCCTAGGGGAGTTGGGGACACCGGGCTCATGGGATGAACGAGCACGTCACGATACGGGCCGTCGTCGCGAAATCCGCTGCTACACCGTTGAAGGGGCGCTGCTTCACGTCGGAAGCTAAGGGAAAGGAGAGAGCTGAACAGCAAAGGAAGATGAAGCAGCAGGGAAATGCTGGAAGACAATAGCAGACGAGCAATCTACTGACAAGTCACGCCACTCGCCCGATCCAACCAACCATCACCGAGTGACAGTACCAATTTATGCAGTCGATCACACTCGGCTAAACAAGGAGGGTACAGTGGTAGACAGTCTTATACTGCTTGGCAGGAAAATCCTCTTGGCCTTAGTTAAGATATTTGTAGACAGGGGAGCTAGTCACACCATAATTAATACCGCCACTTTATTGAGACTGAAACTGCAAGTGGACCGATACTTGCCTAAAGTTGATGCAAGACTTGTCGATGGCACGCTTGGCGATACAGGAATGCGTGGAATGAGTTTGAATTCGCTACAGATAATTGACATTTTACTCGGCCGTGATTGGTTGCGACGACTCAACCGACGCATAGACTAGGGACGTGTGATTGTACCGTTCGAGTAAATAGTAACAATACCGCCGTACCTCGCTAGAGCTCGCCTAAGTCTTCGTGGGTTCGGGTTCAATCGCCCGAGATCGTCAGCATTCGCCGCGCCCATATTGTTCACACTGAAAAAAGACGAAGTGTTTTGTATAGATTACTGCGCATTGGGCGGGGTTACAATCAATTTATGTTACCATCAGATCAACTTAGTACTGAACTGACCTTCTCGAAAGTTGATCTTCAGGGAGGTTACCAGCAGGTCTGCGTTAATCTGACTGACTGCCCAGAAAAAGCCTTCCGCACCCGCTACGGTTCATTCGAATACATAATGATGCCTTATGAACTGCCTTACGCGGTATTGCCCGTGCCATTTCAGATGACAGTGAACAATGCTTTCCGTCCACTGTTAGATAGGTGTGTCATAGTTTACTTAGATGGCAAACTGATCCACAGCCTCAACAGAGCATAGTACTTATAGGACATTGAAGTTGTTTTCAAGGTTTTAACTAAGAATCTTTACTGGCCAAGGCTTCGAAGCGTGAGTTTTTATAGAACAAATTGGAGTTTTTGGGCCATACTACTTCGGTCGATGGACTCGAAAAAAATCGCGACATTTCAAGCTTGGCATCCGCCGACCAACCTGACCGAGCTGCTAAGTTTTCTGGGGTTCGTCAACTACATGCGTCGGTTCGTCCCCGACAGGGTGAAGCCTATTGCCCTACTGACTGGCCTGCTGAGAAAGGGAGTTGTGTGCGTGGGGGGGGAGAAAGAGAAAGCTGCCTTCTCTGCCCTGAAAGACGCTTTGTGCTTACGGTCGACACTGTCAATTGTCACAGCACGACTGTGGTGGGCGCCATTCTCTCTCAGGAAGGCAGCTATGTTTCCCTCCTCGTGCCAAAATGGATCACTACACCCCACGTAGCGATTGCAAAGTTGTCATAATTGTATGCTTGTATTTATATAATGTTAGGCTATGGTGGGGCTAACCTTAAGGGGTACAACAAGTTAAGGTTTCATACTTGTACTCCCATCTCTTAAGTCAAACACATTCCCGTTTCCTAACATGGTAATATCCGCTAGGTTAGGACCATTCCTAGTGCCCGTTACCCGTACCTATTCGACACACGACCCCTCACTGATCCGTCGCGCGCCATTCG